GGAGTTGGTGAGCTTGTAGCTGATTGGCCGGGAGGTGGGGCGAAGTCGTTGAGATGTGGGGGGAGTCGAACGTTGGAGGTGGTGATTTTGTAGATGGTAGGCCTGAAGGTTGGGTGATTTCGCGGAGACGTAGGAGGAAGTTGAAAGTTGGAGTTGGTGAGCTTGTAGCTGATTGGCCAGGAGGTGGGGCGAAGTCGTGGAGATGTGGGGGGAGTCGAACGTTGGAGGTGGTGATTTTGTAGATGGTAGGGCTGGAGGTGGGGCGATGTCGTGAAGACGTAGGGGGTAGTTAAATGTTGGAGTTGGTGAGTTTGTAGCTGGTTGGCCGGGAGGTGGGGCGATGTCGTTGAGATGTGGGGGGAGTCGAACGTTGGAGGTGGTGATTTTGTAGATGGTAGGCCTGAAGGTTGGGTGATTTCGCGGAGACGTAGGAGGAAGTTGAAAGTTGGAGTTGGTGAGCTTGTAGCTGATTGGCCGGGAGGTGGGGCGAAGTCGTGGAGATGTGGGGGGAGTCGAACGTTGGAGGTGGTGATTTTGTAGATGGTAGGCCGTTAATAGGAGGGGCAGCGGGCACAGAGAGAAGGGTTGAACTGTGGAACAGATAGGCACAGGGGTGGAAGTGAAAAATAGGCACAACCTAAAGCAACCCTCTACCCCTCAATCACTTGTTTAATATCGTATAAAGTTCTCCTCACCAATTTCCGCCTTTTTCACGGCGACGGTCCCATAAAGTAGACAGTGTTTTTTTTACTTTTATTTTAATTTTAAAGTAAAAATAAAAGAAAACGTAAAAATAATTTATAACTGATGTTTGTCCTTTTTAATTCCAGAAGGAGCTCCAAGGATCAGGAGAAAATTACGGGGTAAGTTTTTATAAAAACTTTATGCTCTAATTAACAGTGCACGTAAACGTAGGAATTATCAAGTAAATTACACTCAATTACATTAATTCAGTTACTTCTTATACTTAATGTTCTTAGCATACCTAATCTCGCGTAAAATTTCAATCAAAATTAATTTTAAACAAAGTTCAAAAAAGGAATTTAACTTTTTACCGATGAAGGAAATTGGATATTATTTATTATAGATAATTAACGGTTCTTGAATGAAAATTTTTTTGGAAAAGGGAATTACTTTTTTCTTTCCTGTTTTGAAAAGAAACTAATGCTTATAATTATAGTGGGGAAGATTTAAGTTTTATGGGCATTTCTTCTTGTAATTACAACGTGCGGTATAGAAACTTTGCAAAATGCCCAGTTAACGAACTAATAATAATTATTTAATAATTTACGATCAATTTAAAATTAAAAAAGAGTTCCAAGTAAGTAGATTACATACTTTTAGAGAGTGCAATTATAAACATATGCTTGTTTGAATTGAAATTTGTTGTTGATAACAAATTTTATGCTGAAGAATATTTTCTTCCCAACAAAAGGTAAGAATTAGTAGCGTAGTAAGTAACAAGTAGTGAGTAGTAAGATTTTACAAATTTAAACACGCATTTAAAAAAGATATTGCATCGTAAGATGTGTTTCAGGAAACTCGTTTTAAGATGTAACATCCTTTTAAAATGCATTTTTAAATTTCTTTATATTTTTTATCTATTTTGGGTTTTTATATTGCCAGTTGTATTGGCCACTTTTCACTTTTGTTATATTAAAAGACCACTAGTACCTACTATCCTCGGTCCGTATTCGTTA